CCCCCCGCCCCATCACAGACTCCTCAGGACCACTGGGGGTCCAGGGATAAGCGGAGACTTACCTCAGCATAAGGGCCACTCCACAGAGGAGGGGGTGTGGAGAGACCCTCATGACTGCTCCAAAGGAGCCTGGGAAGTAGAACTCCCACCATCCCAAATCTCCCATGCCTCAGCCTGAGGCTGTGCCACACAATGATGCAATAGTCGAGGCCTCATTGGTTGTAGAAGGGCAGGAAAAAGATGGCCACGGGTGTGGTCAGGAAGAGGGACACAAGTTTTCGTTTTGTGATCTGGCCCTGAAGTTGCAGACAGCAACACCAGCTAACCTTGATTTTCTTCTCAATCCCCCACCGCACTCACCACCACAGCCATCCCCGCACATCACCGCTAGAGGGCAGCCGCGTTTCTACAATGAGCCGCTCCTGCCGAGCTAAGAAATCAAGCCAAGGGATTGCAAAGCTGAGAGAGGCTTGAATCATCATTGTGGGGGAAACAATCGTTGGGGTTCATCAAAAATTTGTTTTAGCTTGACCCGACAGCAAGAAATGCATTCGTATGCAATGGAAACATTTTGAGCAGCTACTTAACCCTTACTACTGCGATGAACTCCCCTAAGTTGTTTTCCAAACTATTTCATTTGTAAAAAACAAAGGGGCAGCCCACTTAATTGATTCCCTGACCCTAGTGGGTCCTCATTTTCCGCAACCCTGCTCTCATTTTATAGAGGAGTGCATCGACCAGAATTTTGGGGGTCCCTGTGAGCCTCACCCCTCCTCTCACCTGCTTCTCCCCCTGAATGAGCGAACTGAGCATTCACTATTCACCAGTAACAATGGGAAGACTGCACACGGAGCGCAGGGATCAACCTTTGCGTTTGTTTTCACTGGTCCACGCAGTGGCTGATCTTGTGGTGGAAGAAGTCCCTTAACTCCCTACTCTGAAAGCCGCAGCAGGCAGCCGAGTGATCGCCCCAAACCACAGAGGCCTTCTTGGTAGACGCCCCCCTGGACCTATTGCCAACTCCCAGCCACTCTGCCCACCCAGGAAGAGTCCACACCACCTCGCCAAGCACAAGGTCGGCTCGTCACGCAGCACAACACAGGAAACAGCTGACGACTCACACTTATGCTTCACATATATCATCTTGTGTGGATCTTAGGGCGGCCCGGTAGGGTTGGCAGAACATTTATTATTCCCATTCTAAATGGGCAACAATCAGAGCATATTATTACCTTAAGGGGCTTGTTGGAGGCAAAGAAAGGGCTGATAGCACTGCTTCTTACAATACCTTGTGGTCTGGTCCCTCACATGCAGGAAACACACACACTCCAATGACCATGGACCACACATGTGTCCGTCCAAGTAGACTTGGACTTGGGTTTTCAAGAGCTGATTTGTTTTTAGCAGATCAATAGGCTTTCTTCCTAAGGACCTCTGGTTGCACTCAAAGCACCAACTGTTGGTGAGGAGCTGAGTGGATTAACAAATGCACCACCCAGTAGGATCCAGGATCACTCCCAGCCCCTCACACCTGGCCTTTACCACCCCAAAGCACCCTGGTGAATCACAGTCATAAATTTCAGGCATCCTGCACCAGGTTGCCTTAGCACTGTTGGAGAGGAATACGCAGGAAACAATTCCATGAATTCCTGGGAGAAATCAAAACCTCTGGAGACTCTGGCCCTGGAAAAGTCACAGCTCCCCTCCTTGGGCCTCCAAGTTTTAAAACATTTGACTAATTGTAGAAAGGGGTGTGTGGGGTGGGGAAGAACCCAGAAAACAGCAAGCTAACATCCAAGGGTCAATGCCCTAGATTTTGTCAACATTTAAAGTGGGGTTTCTCTTCTGTGAATTTCTGCCTCTTACTCACCTTCCCCGTTTGGCTAAAAGGCAAGCACTCCTTCGGCAACACACCATTACAGAGAGAACCCAACTGAACTCGCGGTTAAAAAGAAAGTGCACGCAGACTCGGCTCTCTGGGTTTGAGAGCTGCTTTACTTTGTGAAGGATGCTAAATATTTCATGTTACATGAATAAAAAACCAAGTATTTTATCCTTCACTTTGTGGTCTTGGAAGAAAGGAAAAACCTTGGAGTCTGAATCCTGGAGCACTTTAGAAATCTGAGTCTGGTTTTCTTGAGGTTAACTTTCCCACTGGCAGCCAGGGGTCAATCTTCACACACACACACACACACACACACACACACACACACACACACAG